AAACAGCGACGCCTAAAAGCCAAAATATCCTCAGTTCATCACCCAACCACACATACTTTAACTACAAATCCACAAGAAAATAGCTAACGCCTTTGTGACTTATTACCAACAACTATATAATCTTAAAAACGATCCTGACACCATCCAACCAACACTTACATCCATACAACAATTTCTTCACACAACCAAACTCCCCCAACTCTCCCCATCCCAACTTGATGCTATATCTACTCCGATATCTATCACAGAAATAGAAAACATCACCAAAACACTTCCTCTTAACAAATCTCCAGGAAACGACGTTATATGAATGAATTTTACAAATACTTTGCCCCCAAACCTAGCACCATACCTATCCAAACTCTTTAACTATGCTGCCACCACTGGCATATTCCCCAAAGACATGCTACAATCAATAATAACAACAATCCCAAAACCTGGTAAAGACCCGCAACTCGTCCAAAATTATAGACCAATCTCCCTACGTAACACAGACATAAAACTTTATGCAAAAATTATAGCTCGCAGATTACTCCCTTATCTGCCTACCTTAATACACCCAGACCAAGTGGGATTCATACCAGGCCGTCAAGCACCCGATGCCCCCAGGAGACTTATATCTCTTCTCCACCATTTAGAACATACCAAACAGCCCTCAATACTTCTATCCTTAGATGCAGAAAAAGCATTTGATCGAATACACTGGCTATTTATGCGATTGACATTACAGAAATTTGGAATTACGGGATGGATGTTAACAGCCATCCTAGCACTATATTCCCTCCCTTCAGCCAGAGTACTAACAGACGGAATATTATCAGAACCCTTTGATATCACCAATGGTACTAGACAAGGATGCCCACTGTCCCCCATCATATTTGTGCTGCTCATTGAACCCCTAGCCTCTAATCTCAAAGATAACCCGGCATTTACTGGCATCAAATACCTTGACACTGAACATAAAATTAGCCTATTTGCAGACAACATTATATTGATGATTACCAACCCAACCAAATCCCTCAAAACAACTTCAACAATGCTCAATGGTTTCCTATTATAAGCTCAATGAACCAAAATCTTCAATTTTAAACCTCCACACACCACACCATTCTCAAATATCACTTGCTAAACAATTCTCCTTCTCTTGGGAAAAAAATAGCATTCCCTATTTAGGAATTAAACTTACTTCAACAACGGATCAACTATTCTCATCAAGCCACAAAACATTACTTGAAACCATACCCCAAGAAATTGCTATCCTACGCACCTCAGAACTCTCCAAACTAGGCCACGTTGCGAACTTGAAAATGTACATCCTACCAAAAATCCTGTACATTTTTCGCACACTCCCCATATCAGTTCCTAACACCTTCCTTTCCAAATTGCAATCGGTTCTCTCCAGATTTTTATGGAACTCTAAAAAACCTAGATGCACTACCAATCTCTTAATACGCCCATCTTTCAAAGGAGGCGCAGGCCTTCCATATTTAAAATCCTACTATAACGCTATTCTTCTGGACCAAATATATTTTTGGTGGAACCCAACTAGAGAAAAAATTTTGTCTACAATGGAAACCTTACCCTTCCATCCACTTAAACTCCAAAATTTACTCCTAATTCCTACAATGCTACAAACCAATTACCAATTAAAAACACCCATGTATCCTAGCCGCCCTTCAAGCCTGGCGCAATCTTCTGACCATAGAATACACAGACACTAAACAAATTTTCAGCCCAATCGAAATATTACACACTTTCTTTAATTCGTAGGAACCCAAAATATTAATCCCAGAAAGCCAGGGGAAAAAAATCAGAATGGGAAATTCCAAAAGTATGTGCCATAACATATCATTGTGAAGGTCTTTACTCCTGGAAAAAAAATACTTGACATTTCTCCACCTAACTGTCAACAGCTTTATGAATCTTTTGTAGTTGAAGAATGCATTCCCAAAAAAACTTACAGAAAGGTTGGGATTGTTAAAACCAGCCAATCTTATGGTAAACAATTAGATACGGTAGTATTTTTTCATCTCGAATCAAAAGTGAAATAATGAGCAACATAAAAGTATCTTTGTGTTTTTCATAGTGCCCCAAAGAAAACTTTGTCAGAGAAGAAACAATTCTAGAACCAGCAGGTCATCCACAAAGTCTGCTTCATCTGGCATAAACAAACCAAGGTTAGTCTTAACCTCTGAGAAATGCTAAAGTCAAACAAGCAAACATTGTTTAGTATTGATATGGAAACGTCTCAGCAGATATGCCTTTCAAAGGCTTCCATCATCTTGGAGAGTGACAAAGAATGAGCTTCACAAAGTAGTGAAGAGAGAAGGAAACATCATTCAAATCCTACTCAAGTGAATTACATAGATATCAGTAAATAGCATAGATAGTACAGTACAAGTTGATGATGAGGCTATAGACCAAAGTTCCGTGCCCTGTGGTGAGGAACATTCAAGTAACAGAAGTACAGGCTGCAGGAAGACACCTACATCAAGAGCAGACAGTAGGAAACTTAGAGTCACAACAGGGTGAAGCAAATATCCACTACCTTAATATGAAGAGGAAATCCTTAGAAGGTCGACAATGCAATGTGAAATTCACATATGCAGAAAATATGGCGTTAGTAGAAAATCAGGTTCTTGTATACACATTTTTAAAACAGATCAAGCTTGGAAAAGAAAACAGTGGAACAAAATTACCAGAGATGTCAATTCAGTGGGAGTTGCACTCTGTAGTGAGGACCATGTGAAAAAGAGGGCACCAAGACATTAAGGGCAAAATAAAGAAGAAAATGACATTGGACAGAAAGGAACGGTTAGTCTGACTGTGTGTACTGATATTAACTCCTTGGCGCCGGTGCCTCCCGGCCCTTTAAGGGTTTCAGAAGCCGGGAGGCAGGGTGGGGTTTTAGGGTCATGTGACTGCCGTGATTCGCCGTCACGTCACGGTCACATGATCGAAAGAGGAGATCAGGACCTTTCCGTGAGTACAGGACATGTGTGCTGGGAGCGCGCAGTGTGCGCGCTCTCAGCACATGTCTTTTTTCTCAATTGCAGCACGCAAATGTGCGACTGCTCGTCGTCTTGGCCCAGACGCTGGGACGATTAGGTCGCACATTTGCGTGCGGCCGCCGTGAAGAGGTTAAACAGCATGACTACAAATATATAGAATTTCTATCCAGTAAATGTCACTTCATCTTTTCTAATGTACATCTTATATGACTAACCTGAAAAATATACATATAATAGCGCAATCACCCTTAAAACAGTGTAAACTAAGAAAGAAAAAATGTATACAGAGATATTTGAAAGTATGTGCAACTAATGTTAGCACTGCTACTCACACTTTTTTGTGTTCCCACAAAAACTCAAAACACAAAACACACAAAAATAATAAAGTGTATTAAGTGGACATGCGTGTATCATATGCATTTATGTACAAACATAAAACACGCATAGAACATATACATTTATGTAATCACAATATATCTGGAACAATACTCAAACTAATTGTATAATAAAGTGTATTAAGTGATATGCCTGTATCAAATGCATTTATGTCAAAACATAAACCATGCATAGAACATATGCATTTAAATCATCACAATATACAGTATCTAAAACAATCCACACCAATAACTGTGATTAAACAATAACAAATTCCAAGTGTCCATATGTATTCATAAAAATCCTCTTTGTCCTATAATCCAGCCATGTAATCAATCATATATACACTGTGTGTTATGTTTTTCGTTTATGTAATCACCATGGGTAGGTACCCATCCACTGACAGTGGTATGCTCTCACCTTTTTAATAGACCTTACAACAAGGTCTAATGCTCCTGCCCCTTGTAGTGGGGTCCCCTATACCACAAGAGTAATGACATTCTCTTTGTTACTGAGGCTTTTCAATCCATCTCCATCCTCAAACAATCCTTGGTGAAATGTTTTCAATAAACTTAGACAAAAGAAGAAAAATATAGTGCTTTCGGCTTAAAAATCATAATTTATTTAGAAAAGATAAAATACACTCAACTTTTTTAGTGCACAAATCAACTTCACATATAATACAGGCTTGTGTAGTCGAAAACCAACCAACAAAATGGCCGGCCGTTATACTTCTGGTTTGTGCAGTGTAATGTCTCTGGTGCCTCACTATGTGTTACATCATTAGGTCATGAGACTTCATTAGGAATTAGGGCTGGTATTAACAACCCCTGTTGAAGCGCGCTATACAACACCAATTCATCTGCGAAGCCAGAATAAATCTTTTCCTCCTCCCACTTTGACAATAAAAAGGTTTTCAACACTAGGAACAAAACTTTGCTCCCATGGAAACTCTAGTAATTTCTGCTTATAGAACCTGCTGTCATACCAGAAGTAACTGTGGACTTAAACAAAACTCTAGATATTCTGGTATGTATCTGCTTTGTTTCCTTTGTTTCCATATTATTGATAGAGCCAATTTAACTGCTTCTACTGCATCTTCATGATTTTAGGGATTGTATACAGTGATTCAACATCACCTGTTGCTAGGATTATATTTTCAATGTCACTGATTTGACTCAAGTAGTAGTGTATGTTGGTATCCTTAAATTATGCCTTAGTCTTTTGTACTTCAGGCTGCCAATATAACAACTACATACTGCCCTAGCCTTTCATTCAATGATTGTATGCCATTAAACTATGGGGCATCCAGGTGGCTTCTCTTTATCCTTTGTGACAGTGATTTTTAAATCCTTTTTGCAAATGTTGTACATATGTTCCTTGACTTTCTTCCACATTGGTCTTTTTGTACACCCAATATATTGCTTCTACAGGGACATGACATGCCATGGACCAACCCCTGTCGTTTAGGCAGGTGATTACATCTTTTATTTCATATTCTTTGCTGCTGTGCTATAAGCTAGCCCACAGTTTTCTTCTTCTGATGTTTTCCACATTCCTTGTGGTACATCCATAACACTTTCCACAAGTATAAAAGCCTTTCATATTAGCCACTTCCCGTCCGGCCCATGTACATAAACAGATACAGATGGACAGAGCAGTGCAGAGGTGTTTTGCCGTTTATAAAACGGCACCCACATTCACAACCTGTGCGTGCTCCCTTGGAGTGCACGGCACCGCAATCCGGTGCCCGCTGTGTCCGAGGATTGCTGTACGGGACCTCTGTGTGAGGTCCCGATTCATGTGATCAATGATTGCCAATCAGTGATCACATGAATTCTAGTATAGTAAAACAAGATGTCACTTCCTGACATCATTGCTCACTACGTGTGAAATCTGTGAATGATCACAGAATCACATGGTACAGGGGCTATTCACAACAGCCTTGTACCATGTGACAAGCTGGGACCAATCACAGCTTTCAACAGTATTTCTCAGTGGCTGCAAGAATGCAGTCAGAGAGAAGGAGAAACTTTTTTAGACTTTTTCATTTATATAGCAAAAAAAAAAATAAAAATCCCAGTTGTGAATAAATACCAACAAAATAAAGTTTTATCTGTCTCAAAAAAACTGCTAAAAAAAATTCATATGGGGTACAGTGTTGCATGACCACGCAATTGTCATTCAAAGTGTGATAGCGCTGAAAACTGAAAATTGGCCTGGACAGGAAGGGTGGTGTGAAAGTGTCTGCAACTTGAATCGTGATTAAACAAAGATATTTCCCTATTTATATATATAGTTTTTTATGTAATGTTATATACGTTTTTTTTATGTAAGTTTTATGTACATTCAGATTATTAGTCATGTGCATTAACATGTTGTTGTTGGTATAACTTTCTGGCTAGTTGATGTAAAGAAACCCTCAAGAAAATGATAACCAAACTTACATGTATAAATAACATCTGTGTAGAATATATGTCTGGTCTTACAGTAAGATGGAGACTATATACTATTCGGTCCTGTTCATGTCCTCTAGTTAATGGCCACCTCTGGTCTACAGTAAGATGGAGGCTACATGAGTTATATAGTTCTGTTCTGTTCTGTACTGTCCTCTAGGAAATGGCCACTGCTGATTGTTTTTGTCCATTTCGTACAGGTCTCTCAGTACTATGACAGTAGTTTGGTACAGAGGTGCGGTTTCTATGGCGATTGTTTAGAATATAAGGCGTGTTGTTAGTACCGGTCCCTCATCCCTCGATGAAGTCATATTACTTAATGACATAGCATGTAGGGAGGAGCCAGTGACATCACACAGCCACAAAGTATACAGTCAATTCCATTTTGTTAGGTTGGTTTCAACTACACAAGCCTGTATTCTATGTGCACTTGATTTATACAGTAAAAAAGTTGTTTGTATTTTATCTTTTATCAATAAATGGTGTTTTTTTTAAGCAGAGAACACTATATTTCCTTCTTTATCTGAGTTTATTGAAAACATTTCACCAAGGATGCTGTGAGGATGGAGATGTGGGTATAGAGGGACCCTACTACAAGGGACAGGCACATTAGACTTTGTTGTGAGGTCTACTAAAAAAAGTGAGAGCATATCATTTGTCAGTGGATGGGTACCACATACCATGGTGATTACATTAAACGAAGAACATAACACACAGTGTATATATGATATGATTACACGGCTGGATTATAGGACAAAGAGGATTTTTATGAAAACATAGTGGACACATTGGAATTTGTTTATGTTTAATCACAGTTATTGGTATGGATTGTTTTAGATATATATGTGATGAACTTAAACGCAATTTGTCTTCTACGCATGGTTTATATTTTGACATAAACACATATGATATACACATATCCCACTTAACAGACATTTATTATAAGATTTAGTTTTGGTATTGAGTTATTGTTCCAGATATATTGTGATGACATAAATGCATATGTTCTAGGGCGTGTTTTATGTTTGTACATAAATGCATATGATACACGCATGTTCACTTATTAAAGCACTTTCTTATAATGATTATGTTGCAGTTTTTATGTGATATTGCAGGGCCACTTGATTAATTTGATTACTAGGAGGATTTTTTATTGCATGGCACTGAGTCACATATTATATGACTAACCTGTTTGCTTGCTTACTTATCTTCTTTTTCTTCCAGGAACGAAAAACTGGTGGTGTCTTAACCTCTGGCGCCAGGCACTCTCCGGTCCTTTAAGAGAGTTTCAGAAGCCAGGAGGTGGGGCAGGGTTTTAGGGTACATTGTGACCGCCGTGAGATTCGCCAATTCTACGACAGTCACATGATCAGAAAGGGTCGCTGATCAAAAGGGGAGATCAGGGTACCTTTCCGGAGGGCACGTGCTCTCATGCACATGTGTAATTTCTAATTGCACGCAATATGCGGCCGTCTCTGGCGCTTGGCGTCAAGGCCCAGATACTGAGAGGCCACATATTTGCGTGCGATTGGCGTCAAGGGGTTAAGATCTCATGTTCATATGTTGGGACTATAAAGAAATGTTGATACCCTTCATCCATGAAGAAACTGTGACAGGATTGTAGAAAGGTTTTCGATACCATGCTCAATAAGAAAGGTAAGTACATAGTGTGAGCGAATATTCAATGTTAACTATTCATATTTTCAATGTTGTTGCTGGAATCTCCCTCATAATGCAATGCTGCTGGTTTTGGCAATATTTCCATAAAGGTGACCATGGAGCATCTTTGCACAGCATTGAGAGATTGATCATGGGATTTGGGTGGAGTTTTTAAGAGGAGGAGGAGATGGCCCAACTTTTGAATTAATCAGTATCTGTGCTCTTGCAGATGGGCCCCCACGAGATGAAGGAACCTTTTTATTCTATTCTGTGCCAGTAGATGTTCCTGATAAAGCCTTCACTCCTTCTGAAAAGAATGACAACTTTAGGATTTTTCAAGAACATCAACCTAATGCCAGACCAAGTGTCAAGGTAATGTCACTTTCTACTTCATAATCCATTTCAACAAATGACGTGAGTGTACAATACATCACACAACAAAATCTTGACTGAGAACAACTTATTTTTGAGCAACAGCAGGTTCCACCGAGATCAAATACAATATTGTGAAATGTTAGAGGGTCATTTAAAGTTTGAATTTGAAAGTTGAAATTAAGGGGCATGAAGGGTCATGTATGCAGGAATTGCTATCACAGGTTCAGATACAACAAAGAAAAATTCCTCAACTTGCCAACCAACCTGCAACCAACCAAATTGTTCTAACAGTTCATGTTAAAAACAGGGGTTTAGTTTGCACACATTTGTTAATCTATGAGTAAAGCTGCAGAGCCTCTTCATGGCATCCAGGCCCCCAGTATTCTTCCCACAGATAGACTGATGGCAGGTATGCCTGGAAGGAACCCACCCCTCCTTAAAAGGCACAGGGGGTTGCACTGGATACCCAGCATATAGTACAATGGCAGCTAAAATTCCAGTGCACCCTCATCAATACACCAACAGTACAAACAAACAGCAACTGCCCCATATCCTATAAATGGCCTTTGCAGCAAGGAGCACATGGAAGGGTGAATGTGCTATGTCAAACATACAACAAAGAAAAAATTCCCATTTCAGCTTAGTGCAACCAGCCTTAGCAACCAACCGAATTGTCCTATCTAACAGTTTCATGTTAAAAACAAGGGTTTGGTTTGGCAGTTAAGGTGTCCAATGCACCACTCTCATCAATATACCAACAAGAACAAAACAATTAGCTTCTATATTCAGCTTGTTTTATGGAGCTTTGACAATAAACACCTAGTAGCTGATTGGTTACACTTAGGCACAGCTGTGCCAGATTGTATATACTCCATTTTTAGTACATATCCCCATTGTTATGTCTAGACAAAGTTTGGAGCCCAGTTATTTGAGCATAAACATCTCAATCATCATTTAGGATGCGGAGATGTTTAGGGATGTGTATAAAAGAGTGGAATGGTGGCACCTAAGTTCCTTTTGCATAAACCTCAAGTTCTTTAAATACAATGGATTTGCACATTTCTGATCTAACAATGGCTGTTTGGCCTTAATAATAATATGGCTGGAGAACACATTGTTTTTTTTCATTTTTTTTTTTTGTTTTTATTTTTATTTCTTTTATTGAAGGCTTTTGTAATTACAAACATACAATAGTGGGGATGGAGCTTGCCACTATCTAAGATGATGGCTGCATGAGAAGCGGAGCTGTGGTCCACAACAGGAAAACAGCAGACCCACAGGTCCCATCAAGTTCCTCCCTAGATACAGCACTTTTACTCCCCTATTCTCTAGAGATTATGACTAGAAGGAGAAAAGAGGAGCGCCGGCAGCAAAAGCTGGCAGCCTTCTCGCACACAGGGGGCACAGGCAAGATGGCGCCGGCTCTTCTTCCACCCCGGCCTCTTGCACACTACTCAGCAACAATCACAGGCTGGCAAATCTCACAAAAGGAGCAGCCCATCAAAGAGCCAACATTCTTCACCATCTACCCCTTCTTCTGGAAGCAGCACGAAGAATTCAAGGACCGAGGAGGGATGGCTTGGATTCTGCACATGAGGTGAGCTCTATTCAGGATTCAGGAGAATGACACAAGGGAACGAGACCCTGATTCTATTGATCATTTTATTGCCAATAATCAGCCTGTTACTTGATACAACCCTTAAAGATATCTCGCTTGTAACTTTGAGTAATTATTTGTATGCTGATATGATTGCAACGTGTTCACAAATTTGGTGCAGAGCTGCAGGCTGTCTTATCCAGGGATGGATCACATAGAAACAAAAGAAAAGTTAATTTGCCACAGCAATAAATGATCTGATAGATGAATCATGGTCACAAGAAGAGGAGATGGACACAATCAAAGCTAAAATTGCGGATTAATGAGGACAGGATAATGAAATTAGGACAGGTCTAGAAGGAATAATTTGAAAAAGTAGAGAGATTCCAGAAGGGACAGTCCAGTGAACTGACCTGCAAAAATATGTCAGCTCAGATGTTCAGAATCTATTGTACCAGAACTATCAGGATTGGATTACACGTTTAGGACTAGGATTCACTGTTTTGCTAAGCCATCACATCCTCCTGACCACATTTATCCAGAGATTATCATATTACAACTGCACTATTTCCATGTGAAAAAATGTCTAATGTCGTGGCAGTACATTAACAGTCATTTATTACAGAACAATATAAAGATCTCCAATTTTAAGCTGACTTGCCTCAATACACACGCTCCAAAAGTGCTGCAAAAACCTTAACACATGATAACAGAAAGCACTTTAGGAATCACAAGTTCAGCTTAT